TCCTAGTAGCTTATTGTTTCTAATAGCTTCTTGTTCCTAGTAGTAAGAATGCTCCTAGCTCCTAGCAGTAAGGCCAGGAGCCCCGTTCGTAGCGTCCGATCGCTCCGTTCGTAGCGATGCCCTTTGTTACTAGTAGCCTCCTGGTTCCTGGAATCCCGAAGGAACATCGTTTGGACATCGGAACATCCATCGTCCGTTCGGAGGACCTGTGTGACCGGGGTGTTTTGATACGGGCGAGCAGGTTTTGATACGCGGCTGCAGCGGCTGCACCGTACGACACCCTGCCTCCAAAACATCCCATGCCACTTTTCCTTGAAATTTCTGAGTGCCCAAACCACAGCAGTGGCAGCTACTTGCAAGTCCTGTGTGAGGCTTACAGGGGAAGAGATAAACTGCTCTCAGGTGCTCGCAGGTGCTTGGATCAGGGCAAGCCTTCTCAAGATTGACTGAAAGAGCTTCGAACCACGTTGGCAAGTTCCCCTGCTGCATGCCCCTTGAACAAGCAACCACAAAACCATACGAAAGCGGCAGTTGAGAAAGCAATCTGAAAACTAAAAATATACGAACAACTTCTGAAAGCAAGTTTCCATGAACTTCGATGACTTCGTGTCCCACTTGAGACGTCCTGGACGGTCGCAATGGCCACCAGGTTGCTGCTCTTGTGGCTGGGGAAAGAGATGTTCCATCCCTGAAAAGCAAGCCAAGCCAGTCGAAGTGATTTCCATCCAGAAAGCATCCATCTGAATTTGATGTTTGGCTTTCAAAAAAGCTCCAGCAGTGCGTCCGACCAGCCAGGTCGACCAGCCAGGTCGAACAACCCATCGCCTGCTGTGGATCGGAGCATTGGTGCCAATCAGTTCCTTGCCATCGTCCATGACGCTTGGCCACCTGGTCTTGTGGCGCCAGTCAGTTGACACAGGTTGACACATTTGAAAATCTGGTGTGGTGTGGCAATTGTTCACAAGAGATGCTTTGTTACAGTTCATGTTTAGTAGCTTTCGTTGATCCATGTTGATCCTAGGAAGTCTTGAACGGTGGGAAGGGGGAAGGAGAAGGACTCGACTCGGCAACATCGAAACTATTCTCTTGCATTGGCTGTTAAGGAGGCTGCAATGAGTTGTCTGGCACTGCTGGCTCTGCTGACCCTGCTGGCCCTACCTGCACTGGCTATTCACCATCCTCTCATCACGGGGGTGCTGACCTCTGTGTGCCTGAGTGTCTGAGTCTGCCACGGCAAAGGTCTCCGAATGGAGGCTGCCAGGGACGAAGGAGGTGAAATTGATCTCAGCAACGTGGTGTGACGGAGTGTGACGGAGTGTGACGGAGTGACCTTCGGGACATGTGCGTGCGTGCAAGGCTTCGTTTGGGACCGGAACAGCGGCACCAGTCGTGGGAGTCTGCTTTAGGATGCTGACATCGGTCTCTGGTAGACGATACTGGCTAGACTGCGCCATCAGAGAGCCATTGGCATGCCTCAGGAGCCAGCGAGCAACCTTCACATCTTCTCTTCCATAAACTCTTCAGCGGAATTGCGAAGGTCTTCCTAAGCTTAGCTCTAAGCCTCTAAGCTTGGCTCTGATTGCAACAATTGAAAGCATATTTTCGTCCGATCCATCTCAGCAGCTCTTTTCGATTTCGCACATCTGCACTTCCCACATCTGGCCACTTCCAGGCCTAATCAGGTACTGATAGAAGACCGCCATGGAGGTCTGCAAATTTGCGTGGTGAGGGGTGTGGCGGATGCCTCTGACATTCCCCTTGTCTATCTCGCTTTTCATCCAAGGACTATCCTGTAGGCACACACACAACTACACAACACACAAAAAAACACAAACCACAAGAAGTCTTCGTACCTCACAGTGTTTCACACCTGTGTCACACCAGCATGTTTCACCATGGGGAAACCGCCGGAAGTGCAAGAGCTGGCGCCGGCTCGCTCGCGTGAGCGCCGGCTCGCACTCCACGCGCCTCCCCGAGGTCATGGTCGGAGGCAGTCGACTGTGCAGCTTGGGCCATCTGGTCGACCTTTGTGATGGTCTCCTGCGACAGGCGGGCTAGGCAGGCTAGTGCTACATGTGGCTTGGATGGGTGAAGCGGAGCCAACAAAAGTCTGAGTAGCCCAAGCTTAGCCCGCGGAAAACGCGGCCAAACGACGGCGCGTTTGCGGGTTTTTCACACAGAGGTGTAACCGGAAAGGTAGGGGGGATATAGCGACCGTTCAGGTGAGAGGTGGTCAACATCAACAGACCAAAGAAAGGGATTCGAAAAGTGAGTATATAATCACATCGACTTGGATCTCGTGTCTCTCGTGTGGCAATTGCTTTTGCCATCTTTTGCCACTTCTCCGCAGCGTCTCGACAAATGAACGAGACTGGCCCGGTCTCTTGCCGCAGCTGTTTCAAAGGCAACCTCTTCTGTTGGAAAAAGCGATTGCAAACTCCAAAAGCCTCTGGAGTGGTCGAAACCCAGGCTGCAGCATGATCATGTGTGTATAAAAAGCTTTGGCTGCAAGCTGCACGCCCG